GCCCTCGTTATGGTCAGCGTAACGTGGATCGTTTCGGTGGCTATATCATTCGTGCCCGTGCAGCTGAACTGGCACAGGGCCGACCTGGGCACGGTAACCACAAATAACTGGACCACCAGGGAAATGTGTGACTCGACCCTGAGCAGAACGTATGCCGTTTCATCCTCTCTAATAAGCTTTTACATTCCCGTAGCAGTGATGCTGGTCACATACACGCGCATCTACCGCATTGCTCAGGTTCAAATCAAGAGCATCTCTTCGTTGGAGCGCGCAGCGCAGCGCGCACAGAACTGCAGGGCAGGTGCGCACACCTGTCCTCTCCAACACCGCGCGATAAGAGAAACCAAACTGTTCAAAACTCTGTCCGTGATTATGGGGGTGTTTGTGTGCTGCTGGTTTCCGTTCTTCGTCCTGAACTGCGCGGTTCCTTTCTGCCACAAGCCAAATTGTGTCAGTGAAGCAACTTTTAACGTGTTCGTGTGGTTCGGCTGGTGCAATTCATCGCTCAACCCGATCATATATGCTTTTAATTCTGATTTCAGAGATGCTTTTGCTCGACTTCTGTGCTGCCATGACCTGTGCACCAAAACACCTCTTGAAATTCAGTGCAAGGATCCAGTGTCCACCAATAATCAGGGCAGCTCTGTTAACACTATGGAGATCGGTTATGTCAGTTTGGAAAGGGTGGACAACGAAATGCAACGTCCACTGGCGGAGATACATATGTTTGGAGATGAGAGCATGGTTCACCATATTAACTCAGAAGATGCATGTCAGAATAAATGACTTTAGTGTAAGGCTTAAGTGTAGAGGAGACCGGGATAGTTATCACAATGAATATTTCTCTAAGGTTTTACTTTGAAAGTCAATTTCTGTATACCTTAATGTTTTATCAAGCTTTAAAAGGTACAGGAAACAAGATACAGTTCCAGTTTCTGTGGAGGCATGTTGTGACAATATGAACCTACTGTTTATTGACTGATTTGAGGGAAAAGTCTTAGTGTCTTAAAATGTTAATTTTTCAACATCTATTTAATCTAAAAGGACTTTGTTTGTTTAGCAATTTGTAAACATTAAAACAATCCAACACTCTTGTAACATGTACAATTATCAGAAGATTATTTTTGGCTAACAGGCATTCACGTATATTGATTGTATGAAAGTAACATTTATAAAACACATGGGACAACTTGCCCCAACCATCTTTGGAACATAATCCAGCAGCAATGAATGAAAAACTTAAATGGATAGTTCACCCAAAAATTTAAATTCTGTCATTATTTACTTATTCCCATGTTGTTCCAAACCTGTATGGCTAACTTTCTTCCGTGGAGCATAAAAGACAGCTAAATGTCTCTATTTTGAGAAATGTCTCTGTTTCCCCCATCACTGGAAGTCAGTGGTAACCGACTGTTTGGTAACCAATATTCTTTCAAATATATTCTTTTGTGTTCTGAAGTAGACATAAAGACAAGAGGTTGAGTTAATGATGACAAAATATTCATTTTTGGGTGAACTACCCCTTTAAGATGTATGTCTATCAATGCTTTTTGACATTGTTAAAAGAAAAGAAGCGAAAAGGGTGGCTTGTACCTTGTGTGTTAGTGAACTTACACTAGAATAACCTCTTGAAATTACATTTCACCAATTTAAATTTATTAAAAAAATATCTTGAAAAACAGTTGAGTTAATATCTGTTTCAAACTATAGTTGACCCTTGGCATAATGTATCCAGTGTGATTTTATTGTGTTCACTTTTTACCCAATAGCTATAGTTTGGAGGATAGAATACACATAAATATGCTAAATTATAAATGTTAGCTGCCTGAAACCAATGGGATTTCAACATCAAAACCTTCAAGCTCCTTAGCTATAAACCTTGTGACAACTTCCCATGTCTCCTCACAGCCTAAAGTTTTGTTTACTTATTTGCATACATTTGAAGATGGCCACAAAGGTCAGGTTATCACAGCCACAGAATGAGGTCTGAGGTTTTAATAGACCGGATGCCAAAGAGCTTGACGAGTCCACGTATCGTTTTCCATTAGGCACGAGTGCACATGGTTACTTCCTCTCATAAATAATTAGTTGGCTGCAATCTCCACTCAAAGAATGTTACATTTCAGTATGCAAGGGCTTTTGGACTATATGGCATGCTACTTGATGCATAGGGTTTTGCATGTTGATTCATGTCACCTTCATCAGGGTCTGGTAGTTATTAAAGAATATGGAATTTTTAACAGTGCGTAACAATCAGGTATGTTAGGTTGATCATCCTGACTTTGTTAAATTAGGTTGGATGTCTTTTTCCTCCTATGAAACATACTACTCATGATTCTTCTTTATTTATATTCAATTAAATTATTAATTGCAAGCAGCAAATTGTAAGCACCAAAAGTCATTTAACATAGTTTTTTCTAGTAAAACTTGCACACAGCAACCTTTTCTGGCCGTTGGGAGTCTTTTAAGGACACATTGGGCTAGATTGTATTCACAACAGGCGTTACGTATGTAATTAATTCACAATGAGAGGTTTCAGTTGGCTCACAGCAATGAATAAAACATGGGAAGGCAATCCCTAATCCCTCAATAACCTTAAACAAACTACAAAAAAAACTGTATTTTTACAGTTGTATTTTTTATTGATATCAATGGCAAATGCTGAATTACTAATACTTATAAACTGATGCAAACTATAGTGTAAAATATTATTTGTGGTTAAAATCACTGCTCAGATTTATCGCTGAATGAAGAGGTGTTTAAAATTGATGGCCCTTGTAACTAAAAATACTTCACTGTCCTTGATGTCTTCATTCTTGAAGCACATCCAGCCCCTGAGGCTTGGTTTAATTTCGGAATCCCCAGGGATGTTTGTCTATTGAAATTGTTAAAAAGAGCCATGATAGAGCTGCTAAGAACAAGTACATGCCTCTTTTTACCTTAACTCAGATCTTCTTAATTTCTTTCTGTGGCTGGGGAGTCTGATGGGTAAATGTGCCAGTAGGTGTACCATTTAAAATCCTGATTTGAGTAACTGTATATATCCCACATTCACAGAGTTCTCAAATATGTGGACACTTAAGTCACACTTGAAATGCATAAATGTCATTGAAATAGATAGGGTGAGCATACATCCTCTTTTTTTCCCCCAGACACATGTCCTGAGCAGGATTTCTAAACTGCCTAAAATGTCCTATAAGATTTGGCTTTGCCATGCTCTCTACAGTACCGTCTTCATACATTATGTATGCGTGTTTGCATTGCTTTGACCATTCTCTATACGTCTCACCTTTTCGCACACTACGATTGTTCGATTATGTATAATATCTGCACACTATTGGTTGAACTACCTTTCAGTCATTACATTCAGCATATTATGAAAACAATAGAAAAACAACGCTTAAACCCAAAAATTTTAGACAAGTTAGAAATTCCAGCCAGGACCTGTCCAGGAAAAAGAGGACGTAATAAATAATATTACATAAATAAATAAATCATATTAGAAAGAAAGATGGCACAACCCCAATTTTCCAAGTAAAATATTTTGCATAAAGAATTTTGATATGTTTAAATAAGGAAACAACAGATCCTAATCAAAAATATTTGGACACTTTCTGGTTATCAAACATTAGTGGATCATGTTCATAGTTAATGTGGTGAGTTACACCTGTGGTTTCTCTGCTAGGACACCTGTGTGAACTTGAGGAGAACTGACTTCATATATCACTGTAAATCACCCTGGAACAACTTGTTAATGTAATTGCAAAAATGGCTAATAAAAGTGGTTCTGAGAAAAACTCTAGCATTATTTGCTTGCAGAGGTCGCTTAATTTTATAAGCAAGTGTGGCCTAAGTATCCAAATACTTCTTGAGGCCATTGCATATGCTTACTTAATGAATAAGAAAGAGTATCTTTCTGTCCGTGTGCTTGGTCATCAAACACTCACAGTAATGCTAGCCTGCACACAGAGTTTCCTGTAACTGATCAAAGAGGTTAATGTGCACACACAGTGTTCATAGTGAGAGAGCAGTCACTGAGGGACGAAACAAACAACACAGGGATTAATGAAGTGTGCATTGTTTATGTTGAATAAGTATATATATATATATATATATATATATATATATATATATTAAGCCACAGAAGAACTGTTGTGCGTCTCCTAATAAAACACAATAGCTGTTGGACTTGAAGCAGCACTGCACAGACCGTTCTGTCACCATCAAAGTACAGTGAGAGGGATTAGACAGCATTTCAAATGTTTGTTTTGATGTCAAATAAGTCTTGCGGTTTTGCGCTTTTGTTAAAGCAGTGTTGCTGTTGTAAAGTTATACATCTACAGTTTAGGTAGTGCTGTGTTTTAAAGCAGGTTAGATTTTTTTCTTCTTCCTTATCACTCTGTATTTACAGGATTTCACTGTCCACTCTGTTCAAATGTGGATGAATGGCTACACATAGATGTGTGCACACACTGTCAGAACTGTGTGAGATCACTACCATCCTGGTTTTGTGGGGGTGGGTAGGGGTGTTAAATAATTTGTTTTGTTTTGTTGTTTTCCCCATAGGTTTTTAACATTCTAAAAGCTCTTTATTCCAAAGATACTACAAGCTAGTCAGTGTATTCAGCAGGTGTAATGTATTCTAAGTTGCTTCAGATGTATTGTAAGTACTGTTATGTACAACAATAAAACAGAGCATTGACATAAAAAAGGAAATTTACAAGTACTTTTAAAAGCAAGTACTTCTGTACTTTTACTTAAGTAAAAATCTGTCTTTACAACTTTTACTTGTAATGGAGTAATATTTGACCAGCGGTATCTGTACTTTCACTCATTTGAGTATAAGAAGAAAATAATAATAATAATAATAATAATCATCATACTCATAATAATAATAATAATGAAGAAGAAGAAGAAGAAGAAGTTAAAACTGTAAACTGTTTTCAAACCATATGTCCGACAAGTGAAAGACTTTTAATTTGTACACCCATGAACCGGAACTGATGTCCTCAAGTCTGCAAGAACATCCCACGGAGGTTGTAGGAAGTTTGGATTGCTCCGTAAACATCATTCAATAAGTTTGTTTTCTATATTCGTATGTGCGTTTGTGTTTTTTCCCACCGCAATATCTGTGCGCTCTTTCGGGGTTGACCGTGTCTTTGGCTTCTGGAGCGCCTTGTAGAGCCCAGAGGAGAAGATGTCTGCGGAGGAGACGGATAAATCCACCGCCGCTGATGCGAGTGCAGGAGACGAGGAGGAGGAATGGCTGTACGGGGGTCCGTGAGCGCCAAATCTATTCTGCTTTCCTTTATTTTGCTAATAAACACTAACAGCTCAGGAGAAATGCGCTTATTAATGTAACGTTACAGCACTATATATCGGTGTAATGAATAATGAATGGGCCTTTATCCTGCAGTGTTAGGAGTAACGTTAGGGGTGGGCGATACCACTTATTTTGTTTTCGATACGATACCGATATTTTTCAAGGCAGTATCGTCGATACCGATTCGATACTTCTGAACTAAACTTTTAAATTATGAAATTTATGAAATTATTTAATTACTAAGAGTAAAATTGGTAACACGCACTTAACTTTGTTTAAAATGCATTTTAACATTCAATACGCCTTAATTGTCACTTATTAGGTTATATTTTTGTTTACACATGGTTCAGATATGTTTTTTTGTTTACACATGATTCAAATCTATAAACACTACAGTTGAACTATGATCACTTTAGTAAAACCATGGTTCATTTTCATAAGAGACTGCCAGTGACAGGTTGTTGCACGCATAAAATGCAACCTTTTTATTCTGACAGTGTATGATTTCTATTAACATTACAGAATAGAACATGATCAATATTATCTTTCAACGTTCAATTTAAATAACTGTAATTGCACAAACTATGTAGGCTAAAATTTCAGTTTGTTTATTGTGAAATAACGCTGTCCTTCTGTCCTCTGATTAAGCATTGTTCAGGGCTGCCGTTACCAGAAGCTTTAATGCTTTCTTATGATACTTTAGGAAACGCAGCCCTGTTTGAATGCACGGTCAGAAGTGAGTGAACGCTGTCTGTGATTGATTAGTTCGGTCTTGCAACATTTGCATGTGTTCAGATGAGCAGGAAAATAGTTCTATTCTACACAATTACTCGCTAACGAAGGTTATTCGTCCAATTCAATGCATATTGTATGCATTATTATTTTTTTGTTAAATTAACAAAATCACTGGAAAATAAAACACACCTTAGTATTGATATTTTTTGTTTGAGTATCGATACTTTCGATACTCGCGTCAGTATCGATATATCGATACGCCCATCCCTAGTTAGGAGATTCCTGTCACTTCACCAAGTGTTTAAACTTCATGTCATATAAATATAAATGTTAATCTATAAATAGAATTTAAGATTCTCTGCGAATTCTGTATGATATTGTGATCTTCACTGCTTTGAGAATATGGCAGAATCGGTTCACTCATTCTTAATTCTATTTTGTTGTGTTTATTCGCTACTTTGAGAAATATCAGAAATAATTTGAGAAATTAAAAGAAGGGATTAAAAGAGAATTGATTCAATAAAATCTCAAATGGATTATATTGTGGAATGAATTTGTGATTCTTTTCAAGAATACTTTTCAAATGTTCTGTAATGCAAATATAAAATAACAATATTTTGTCATCGGCAGTATTTTGCGAGCAGCTCCTTTTAACAGATTTCTTAACAATAGAAATTGGGTACTCATAATCTGTTTGTCACCAATGCATAATGTATTTGTTACAGATGAAGGTGAAGGTGAAAGTAAAGAAACTGAAGAAGAAGAGGCCAAACTGACAGCAGCCATCAGGTGGGAAGTGACGTTTTTACTGTTAGTGGTGTAGACCCCCAGATATGATGACACTTGTACAACGGACCTGAAGCTTAAAATTTAAAAGGCATCTATATAGTTTCTTGTATAAAGACCACAATTATACTAGCATTTATAGTATGTTAAAATATTATTTTGAAGATGCTTAGTTTCATTTTTTCTGTTAGTTGTACCGCAGATGTATTTATTTATTCACTCGTTTACTTATTTTAATCAAATTGTATTTTTTATTTATCTTTTTATTTAAATCAAATTTTATTTATGAATATTAAACATATTTATTTATTTTTCTCTAAACATTTAAGGTGAAATAATGAATAAAAGTTCCCAAATAAAAGATTACCGAATGACCACACACACTGCTATGTTGCTTCCTAATGTTTTCACTGAATAATATTTTGTAGTTGATTTTATGTCATAGACTGTTAGATTGCAAAACCCACGTTTACTTAAGGAACATTACATAGTATTTTTATAGCATGTCCTGTAAACCTGCCAATACTAAGGTTTGCCTCTTTAAGTTGACTAAGGAGTTCATCTGCATTTGTTTTCATCATTCTTATGGTGATCCATCTGTGGCTACAGTGCGACCTCTGCTCCTCCTGATACCGAGGAGGACACCGCGACCACCAACAACAACAACACCACCACCACCACCACCACTACTGGAAATGGTGTGGCCAGTCAGGTAACAAACAAAACCACTGTTGCAGCCCCATTCAGTTTGGATGGAGTTGATGTAAGGTCAGCTTCGATTGCTGTTTTGCTTAATGTAAATATCAATATTACACCTGTACATTACACTGCAATGATGTGTGTCAGTTTTGCGTGGCAAAAGCTGCAGATTAATTTCTTTGAGTTTTTAATGGCTTAGTTGAGTGCTTTTCTGTTCTTTTTTTCTCTCTATGCGTCTTGTAATTAAACATAAGTAAATTTTAGCTCAAGTTGCCCATCTGTTACATGTATGTTGATTAATTAAAGATACTCTTTTTGTTTGTCTTAGGAGGAAGCACCTGGAGAAGATGAAGACAGTGAGAGCGATAGCGATGATGACGATGATGATGTCCGCGTCACCATTGGAGATATCAAAACAGGAGCACCACAGTACACGTAAGCGGCCAGTGACTGTGCTCCCATCCTGGAGATTGCAAGGTTCACACTAGGGGTTGAACGACTTCTGATTTTTTTTAAATCGACTAGTCACTGATGACGTCATTAATGAACAAATAAGTCTGGAGCTGTGACAAACACCTTGTGCACAGCTATGGCATATGACACAGCGCTGCCCACACGGCTGTTGCTCCTATAACAGCTTTTTTATCAGTTCTTTTGTCTTTGGGTCGTTATATTTCTCACAGATTTCTGCTTTATCAGATACAGATAAAGTAGCACAGTAAAGATTACAGTCATATGAGTGCATTAGTGAGAGCGATTGCGTGTGTGAATTAATTCTTCCTGACAGGGTCTCTCTACTAGTAGTGAAGCTGTGGGATTTAGTTATTAAGAAATATATGCTTGAACTTTTCAGTTTCTAAGCTATTTTATTGAGAAATCACAGAAGAGTGTTGACAATACATTTCTGCGCTAAATGATTATGTGCGTGCGATGTACGCGCTACTGTCTGTAGCCTATGTGTGTGCTTTACAGTGCAGCAGCACATTAGATTAGAACGGCGATTAACGTACCTGTACAATAAGCTGTTTAAAACGTGCATTCTCCCGTTCAATTTCGAGCATCCAGTAATATAATCACACATCTTGTGGAGCGCTTTCAGAGTATGCATTTATTTGTCATTTGAACTGTTTGGAAATGAGTGTAAATGTGGAAGTCCTTCAAAGATTTCTTATCCTGTTGCGCCCTCTATTGGACCAGCGACTAGTCGACATCAAGCTTAAAGTGTCATGGCAGAGCATTGTAGTCATGGCAGAGCATTGTAGTCGATTAGTTGGTGCAACCCCTAGTTCACACAGGGTGGTTGATAGATAATCTGACACTGCCTGCAACTCAAGGTGGTAGAAGTGGACTTTACTTGTTGATGATGGACAAAAAACAAAACAGCGGATTGTTCTGTTTTAACTCACTTGTATCATGTACTTTAAAGAGAGTTCACCCAAAAATTTAAATGCAGTCATCATTTACTCACTCCTATTTTGTTCCAAATCCATAACACCCTGGGTAATCTTCGAAACACAAAATAAGATATTTGTAATGAAAGCTGAGATGTTTCTGTCCCTCCATAATCAGGAACCGATTTTAATTTAGGTTTTTATTTACATATAAACACACACACAGAGCGAATCTCATATGGTAAACATGAAAGCTTGTGCATTTGAGTGTCCGTATTTACCATATGCGGACATATGCTTTATGTATGTCGATCAATGTTTATATGTAAATAAAAGCCTAGATTCAACCTGTTCATCCCATCATAAAGTAATCCTATCTCTTCACAAGATTAAACTGCTCGATTCATATGGATTAATTTTATAATGCCTGTATGACCTTTTGGGATCTTCTTTTGGAGCTTTCGAACCTAGAAGGTTTAATTAAAAATAAATATATTAATTTGTTTTTTGAAAATTAACCAAAGCCTTATGGGTTTGTAACAAGATGAGGGATGAGTTTTATTTGTATCCCTTTTATGCTTTGACTTTCTAAATATCATTGGCAGTACTGGAATTATGGCATCCTCCAAGTGTACTTAATTAGTGATTTGGAGAGAAAATGAATGAATAAAAAACACATTTTAAATAATTGCACTTCAAGACACAGTCATTTGTGTTGTAGTATGGGGCCTTATTCTGTATTTTTTATTTTTGTACTTTGTTGTTATTTTGATACCTATCTATAACTGTCTGTAATAGTCTATAACTGAAATGGACTGTAGAACTGGTATATTTATGACGTTTTATTGTGCAGGGCATATGGGGGAACTCCAGTGAATCTGAACATAAAGTCAGCTGGCAGCAGAGCATATGGAGCAGGTGAGTGAATCCATGTGTCTCACAAAATACATCAGTTGACAGTTTGCTTACAGATGCATTTTTATACAAAGCAACATTTTCAGCTCCTGACATAATTTAAGTGTGTATTCAATAGGTAGCAAAGTGAAAGGCATAGACCTCGAAGCTCCAGGCAGCATCAATGGAGTTCCAGTCTTGGAAGTGGACATGGAGTCCTTTGAGGAGAAACCATGGAGGAAGCCAGGTGTGTATTAATTTAGGAACCAGCGTGATGGCCCTTTTTGTGGCATCTGCATATTGTTTAGCATATGCGTGTGTTTACAGGTGCGGACTTGTCTGACTATTTTAACTATGGTTTTAATGAGGACACGTGGAAAGCATACTGTGAAAAGCAGAAGAGGTTACGCATGGGCCTCGACATTCACAACATTGGATCCACCACCAGCAAGATCTCAGTAAGCATAATCAGCTGTTACTAGAGATGGAAATGATAAAAAATGTAACAATACTGCTTATGATTCCACTAATCTGGTTCCTTTGATCTGATTTGTAATGTTTGGAAAACAATTATTTTGCATGAATTTCTCTCAGATCATTTCATAACTTTTTATAGTTTAATAATTTAAAATGTAAATGATTTCTGTGATGGCAAAGCTGACTTTTCAGCAGCCATTACTCCAGTTTTCGTGGAGATCAAAATTAGAAAACTTCAGAAATTTCTTTCTGAAATGTTGTTAATCTTCACTCAAAATTTGAAGGAATATTAGCTGTAGGTATATCACTGATTTACTAATATGTTTTACAAAATATCCAAAGCATAAAAAAAATATATATATATTTTGTGGAGAAATCAGTGATCAAAATTGGAGAACAGTAAGCACTGTAGCACGGGAGGGTTACAGTTGTCAGAAATTAGTAGGAAGTGTAGAGGCCCTTGCTTTGAATAACTTCAGCACAGGATATAGTTTGGTAACTCTAGTAGGTTTCTTAGACATAACTTTGTCGCCAAGGATTTTCAGTCGGGTTTAGATCAGGACTTTGTGCTGGCCATTTCATTATTTCAGTGTTCTCAGCTTCAAGGAACTGCTTTACCCGTTTTGCAGTCTGACAGGAGTATTGTCTTGCATGAAAATTGCTGGCTGATTGGGAGATGCTTGCAGGGAATGTTGCCGCAGGAGGTTCTGATAAACGTTTGCATTCAGTCTGCCATGTAGCTGTATAAGAGGCCCAACTCCTGCTGCAGAAACCATTCCCCAAACCATGACACTTCCTCCACCTTTCACTGACTTCTTTACGCACTTGGGCTTCAGTCTTTCCCCAGTTTGACACCGAACAAAATGTTTCCCATCAGACCCAAAGAAATTAAACTTGCTCTCATCACTAAAGTGAACTTTAGACCAGTTCTCCTCTCTCCATACAACATGTTCCTCAGCAAAGTCTCATGCTTCTTGAACATTTGTCTTACGTGAATGACCAGCCTTTTGGGGGGACTTGAATGAGTTAGTGTCATTGTAAAGATGTAGTATTTGAGAAATCACAGATTTGGAATGACCAGCTTCTCTTGCAGTGGCTGAAAGGATCATCCCTTTGGCCTTCATCTGGACTACCTCCTGTCGCAGGGTTTCAGTCACCTTGCAATCTCAGTGAAAATTAGAGGAATGCTGCCAGTTAAATAGGGTTTGTCATATACAGTGGCATGCGAAAGTTTGGGAACCCCTTGCAGAATCTGTGAAAATGTGAATAATTTTAACAAAATAAGAATTTTTTTTATTTATTATTGTCCTGAGTAAGATATTTTACATAAAAGATGTTTACATATAGTCCACAAGACAAAAAAATAGCTGGAATTATTAAAATGACCCCATTCAAAAGTTTGGGAACCCTTGGTTCTTAATACTGTGTGTGGTTACCTGGATGATCTATGACGTTTTTTGTTTTGTGGACTATATGTAAACATCTTTTATGTAAAATATCTTACTCGGGACAGTACTAAATAAAAAATAACATGCATTCTGTATGATCTCTCTTATTTTGTTAAAATTATTCACTAAGAGAGATCATACAAAATGCTTGTTATTTTTTATTTATTACTGTCCTGAGTAAGATATTTTACATAAAAGATGTTTACATATAGTCCACAAAACAAAAAACGTCATAGATCATCCAGGTAACCACACACAGTATTAAGAACCAAGGGTTCCCAAACTTTTGAATGGGGTCATTTTAATAATTCCAGCTATTTTTTTGTCTTGTGGACTATATGTAAACATCTTTTATGTAAAATATCTTACTCGGGACAGTACTAAATAAAAAATAACATGCATTCTGTATGATCTCTCTTATTTTGTTAAAATTATTCACATTTTCACAGATTCTGCAAGGGGTTCCCAAACTTTTGCATGCCACTGTATATGCATAGGATATACACAAGGAATACACAGTAGTACACAATATACATATGAAATATACACTTTATACACTGTCTCACTATATGAGTTATGTCTCTCTTAACGGTAAAGTGAATAGCATATACTGTACACCATGTTCCACAGCATTGATCGGCTGTCCGCTACTGATGTCAAATTTTCATGTGCACGCAGCACACACTCCACAGTTAATCATGAATTCAAGATCAAAGCCTGAGTTGACAGAGAAAGTAAAATATCTTACTCGGGACAGTACTAAATAAAAAATAACAGGCATTTTGCATGATCGCTCTTATTTTGTTAAAATTATTCACATTTTCACAGATTCTGCAAGGGGTTCCCAAACTTTCGCATGCCACTGTAATTAAGGAAATTAGCACCAGGTGCCAGATTAATATTATTAACTTGGAGGTATCTGTAAGTGTTCTCTAATTTTGAGTTCTTTTTCAAATATCTAATATAAGTTTTTTTTATACTGTGCTTCAGAATACAATTAATTTATGAAATATGCTTAAAAAAAACTCTACTCCTGTTAGGATAACTTCAAATAGGACTAAGCAGTGACCTCGAAATTTAGTAAATTTTTATGTTGTTCTCTAATTTTGATCTCCACTCTGTGGACACACACAGTTTAAATCCATTAAGAATGTATGAAAGAATCACTTGCAACACCACTGACACTGGCTTCTCATAGCATTTTTTACTTTTTGTTTGGTAAGATTTTTATGTATTTGTCATATTCTGTGCAGTTATGGAAATAATTTTTAATTTCTTTCTTATCTTTAATTTTTTTAACAGGGATTCCCATCACTGTTCCTCCACCCAGTAAGTCGAGTGCACAATAAAATAACAAACATAGCAAAAGTAACTTATGATAAAGCTCTTAATTTTTTCCAAAGCACTTGTCTACTGAAATTTCAAACTTTATGACTGATTGTGAATAAATTATGAACAATTCCTGTATTTTTTACTATGTTTCTGTTTGTGTTGTAGATTTCCCCCCTCCCACTGGAGGACCTCCTCCTTCACTTATTAATATAGACAAGTAGGTGTAGCTTCTGTACACAACTGATACTTTTATTAACATTAGTGTACAAAAAAAATTATTTTATTCAAGGATGCATTAAATTGATCAAAATGACAAAACAATGGCTGACAAAATGAGTAATGGCTGCTGAAAATTCAGCTTTGCTGACTCGGGAACAAATTAAATTTTTAATTAAATGTATAAATGTTTTAATTCTAATAATATATATGTTTATATAATAACATAATTATTTATTTTTAGGGTTCTGTATTTAGATTTAAATACATGCCATTTTTGAAGTGTAATTTTCAGTGTTAGCATTTAAAATTTGCACTTTAACACTTCATTAATTGCCTGTGTGCTGTATTTAGCAGTGGGCACCCGGGAGGATATGATGGACGTCCTGTTGCTCCATACCCTTTTCCTACAGGTAAGTGTGGGACTATCTCCCCAGTCTATTCTACACATCTGAAAAACTAATTTAATTTATATCTCAGTACAGGTCACAAGTACTTAAATCTATTCCAGGCTTTATTAACCTCAATTAAGAATCATGCGCATTGGGGATTGTTCTTATGGTTTCATTTTCAGGTGGGTTTCCGCCACCCATGCAAGGAGCTGTTAACCCCTGGCCTGGTTTGATGGACAACCCGAAGCAGTGGGACTACTACGCTCGGCGAGACAAAGAGAGGGAAAAAGAGCGAGAGAGGGACAGGCCGAGGGAACGTGGCCATGAGAGAGACCATAGTCCCTCCTCTGTGGTTTTTAACAGGTGAAAGATGCCAACCCACTCATTCACTACACAGATGTACTCTTATTTTTTTTTTTTTTGAAAGTGTAGAATTGTTGATAAACTGACAACTTTAGATGTTAAGTTGCATTCTTATTGTGCATGATTCATCATTAAATGTTATTCCAAAGGGGGATAAACTCTCTCAAAGTTTAAATTATTTGTCCTAGTTTCTCTGGTTCTATTTTTAAGCTTTTAATTGATTAAACTTGCTCTTTTGCAGTGATGAAGAACGGTATCGTTCTTACCGTGACTACGGAGACAGAGGGTATGAGAGGCATCGGGAGCGATCGAGCCGTGAGAAGGAGGAGCGTCATAGGGAAAGGAGGCACAGAGAGAAAGAGGAAGGGAGGCACAAGTCATCACGGAGGTAACATACAAATGTCAGAAATTAACGAAGGCTTGGGGCAAAAACGCCACCAAAATGAATAAAAATCCCCCCCACCCAAATTTTGAGATGTACTTACAACACATGAGATAGTTAAGCAATATCACACAAGAAAGACTGTTGCACATCTCCGGAGGCACAGCAGTAATTTGTTACTGAATTAAAGGGATAGTTCACCAAAAAATGAAACTATGGAAGTCAATGGCTGTTTGGTTACACATATTCAAAGTATCTACTTTTGTGTTCAGCAGAAGAACGAAATTCATAAAGGTTTGGAAGAGCAAAAGTGAGTAAATGGTGACAGAATTGTCATTTTTATGTGAACTATCCGATGCGCACTTCAGAATCTCGCTGGAAGTAGTAGGTCATCCGGGAGCCCTCTGTTTTATAAATACTATAAATTTGGACATACTACTCTTTTTACATATTTCTTTTTTACCCACTATATATAGTAGGGATGTATGCAATTTCGGATGCAGCCATTGACTTGCCGCCACCAACTGGCAGTTGTAGTTTCATATTTAATCCCCCCCCCCCCCCCCCC